AGACAGAGAGACAGAGACAGAGACAGACACAGAGACAGAGACAGAGAGACAGAGACAGAGAGGAGAGACAGAGACAGAGACAGACAGAGACAGAGCGCTGACTGCACCTAGCCTGACTCTGCTGCTTGGTGACCGCTGGGCCATCCCTGGCTTTCAGAGGTGCAAATCTGCCAGCTCAGAAAGCCAAGTCTGAGATCCCAGCAGGCCAACTGGAGCTTTCCACCCTCTAACCCTAGCCTTGCCTTGTTGGTTAAAGCTCCCCCCAGATCCCCAGTCAACTGGAGTCCCCCCACCAGCCAATCAGACCCACGATCTGCCAGCAGCTCTGTGTGCTGGTGGGTGGAGCACAGTGGGTTAAATGAAGTTACTTTGTCTCTCCTGCCTCTTTTTTAAAAATTTATTATTTTGTGTATGAGTGTAATGCCTGCATGTATGTGAGTGCACCTGTGTCGTGCAATGCTGTGGAGGTCAGAAGAGGGCTTCGGATTCCCCTGGGACTGGAGTTAAGGACTGTTCAGAGCCGTCATGTGGGTGCTGGGAATCGAACCCAGGTCCTCTGCAAGAGCAGCCAGTGCTCTTAACCACTGAGCCATCTCTCCAGCCCCCTTTTCCCTTCACTTATAGGAACTCCGAAAGGGCTGTGACCCCCGTGAGCAGTAGGCCTTAGCTTCTAAAGGATGGCAAGCCCTCCGCAGAGTCCTCGTGTGGGAATAAATAGAATTCTCCAGATGGTGCTCAGTGTTCAGTGTGGCTGGGTGGAGGGCACCTCCCTTTACCCTGAAAACTGAGGCCCTGAACACATGGCCTGAAGCAGTGCCCACATGTAACTGTGGGGCTCAGTGGAGTGTTTGGAGTGCTAAGCTGAGCCAGAGCCTTTGGGTGGTGGGACCCTGAGTGGTGGACATCTGTCCCGATCCAAGTTCAACTTCCTGAAAAGGGGTAGAGTGGGTTTGGAGCCTAGATGTGACCTGGAGCTGAGCATGTCACAAGGAAGGCCGGCTGGGAATAGCTGGGTGGTTCAGAGCCCCAAGGAGTTTTCTTTGGGGGGGCCACCAAGGGATAGAGGACCTAGGTAGGTCCCAGCTGGGTCTCTGCCTCTGTTGCTCTGCCAATGAAAACACTATCTAGAGCTGGTTTTCTCCAGGTGAACCGGCCTCATTGGAAGTAGGGTATTTGCTGATCTAAACAAGCTCCAAACTTACAATGCCACCGTCATGGGAGGACAGGCTCTCAGTCCAGCAACTGGCACACTTAGAAGAGGGGGAGCTGGAGAGATGGCTCAGAGGTTAAGAACACTGACTGCTCTTGCAGAAGACCCGGGTTCGAATCCCAGCACCCACATGGCAGCTAGCACTGTCAGTAACTCCAGTTCCAGGGGATCCGACAGCCTCTTCTGTCCTCCGCAGGCATTGCACGACACGGGTGCACTTACACACATGCAGTCAATACACGAATACACATAAAATAAAAATGATAAATAAAAAATATTTTAAAAAAGAAGAGGGACAGGAGAGTGTGAGGATGGAGGCAGATGGGACGGAGTGATTAGAGGGTGACTGAAACAAGGCTTCTGGAACAGTCTGCCTGGGTTCAAATCCTGCCTGGGTCAAAGCTGTATGGCCCCAGGGAAACCACAGTACCTCTCTGGGCCTCAGGTTCCTTGTGATGGAGATAAATGATTCAGTCCACCTAGAAGTCCCAGAGCAGGGCCTTGCCCAACCTGAGTCTCCAGTCAGATTAGCGTTTTGTTCTTGTGACCTAGACATCCTAACATCTAGGATTTATCCTAAAGAAATAATACCTCAAATCAAAAGCCCAAAATGTCAGTATGGCTTTACCTACAAAAGCTACAAGGTAGAGTTCAAGGTTATCCTTAGCTACGTAAGAGTCTGAGGCCAGCCTGGGCTATATGAGATGGTGTCTCTAAACAAAAACAAAACAGTAAACGGCACTGCACAAAGCTGTGGGGACAGTCAACACTTTCAGGAGGAAAAAGTTTTCAAAAAGCCAGGCTCTACCTCGGAGGAGGGTCTGGCTGGTGGATGTGTCTTGTCCTATAGGCACAGAAGGGTCTGGGCTTCTACTAGCCCTGTACTCTGGACCACTCCCAGGCTAGGGCTTCGTCATCTCCAGAGACCCAGGCTGGATGGGTGGGGGCAGGCCGAGGTCTAGCCGCCCCAGAGAACCCAATGAACAATTCATGAACAAGTTCTCCAGCAAGAGGCTCTTTTAAAAGCTGCTCTAGGGCCTTAATGCACTGCGAGGCCTTTAGGCTTGCACAGTGGAGTTGAGGGATGTCTCGCGGAACTCCAGTCAACAGCCCAGATCGAGCTATCTTATGATACAACCATGCCAGTGACCACTGACGACGAGGAGGGAGATCAAATGGCCCATCCTGCTGGACCGCTTGCTTGAGATAGCAGCTGATTCTGTAGCCCAGGCTGGCCTAGAACTCACTATATCACCCAGGGTGGCCTCAAGGTCACAGAAATTCTCTTGCCTCAACCTCCTGAATGCTGGGATGGCAAGTGTACATCTAGTTGGATCTTGAATGTCACAGACCTGCTCCCCAGCCCATGGCTCTTTGAGAGGTGAAGCCACCTTCAAAAAGTTGAACCTAGTGGGAGAGCATCGGATCACTGGGGAGAGGCCCTGGAGGGATCGATTGGGGCCTCTCCCCTTATCCCTAACTTCCCCGCTGCCATAGGCAGGCAGTCTTCTCCTTAACACTTCCCCTCCACTGGGCACCCACAAGCCCAAAATGAATGCTCATGGAACCCTCTGAAACCAAGAGCCAGAATAAACCTTTCCTCTTTTTATGTTGTTTATCTCAGGTAATTTGTGGCAGTGACACTGAGCAGACTGACAATCCATAGGATAGAACACCCTTCAGTCCCCAAAGGAGTGATGCACAGGTACGTGCCACAACAGAGCTTGGGAAATGGGAGGCTTTGTATTGGACACAAAGGACAGGGGACCCCAGGGTCCACAAGCCTGAGGCACTGGAGTCACTTAAGCCACAGAGAGGAAAATACAGGGTGGACATCAGGGCTGGAGGTGGGGGTGTTTAGTGCTGACTCAGGACAGGAGCTGACTGCAAGGATAAGGGGCTTTTTCTGGAGGAAGTGGTAGTGACTGTACAGTTGCATGGCATTTCGTGTTCTTGGGCTGTGTACTCAATGGTCACCATGGTAAACTTCATATCTATCTATGTGCCACGGTTAAAGCAAAGCAACATCATAGAGATGCCCTGTTCTGGTCATAGGGAGGTCCCACAGGCACAGTGAGGGAAGGACTCACAGCCACAGAAGTTGATGACCTAGGCTTATGATGGGGAGGACCCATGGCCATGGTGCAGCAAGAGCCACTCGGGGTTCCACCATGCCACCGCCAGCTGCCCAGTCAGCCATACCCTCTCACAGGCATCCACTCAACAGGCATCTTCTAGCTCCCGTGATCTGGGATCTCAGGGAGCATCAGCCCCGGAGTGGGCACAGCGGACTCTGCTTCTGCAACATCACAGGTTAGCCTACAAGCTGCAACCTACCCACTCTAGGGCCCACTGCCTCCCCTTGGAGTCATGGTGGAGCTGTCAATCAAGATGTCCCATCCTCCCAGGGCCAAGGGGTGAGCACAAGACCTCAGAGAAGGAGCTGAAAGCCTGGGGGGGG